TGGCCTTTGCTGCTTAGAATGTTTTTTCTGTTCACAGTTTACTGACTGCCATTCTTTAGCATAGGCATGGTGAGCATTAACCCAGGATTAGTTCAAATAAACAATATCATAGCTTTGCCTCCGTCGCTCATGAATCTGCCTTAGATATTTGCTTTGACTAGCAATCAAACGTGACTTTTCACAAATAATATTCCTTCCACCTACAGTTTTCCTGAAAGTTAACCCAGTGGCTATTAAAAATTTTCCACAGACTGCTAGCATTCTAGAACCATTGTTCAAGGATATTTGGGGGAAAAAGTGTTGCCTGATGACTTGACTGAAGGAACAATAGTCAAAATTCCCCCCAAAAAGGAGACTTAACAGACTGCAATAATTAGAGAGGAATTTCTCTACTCCCAGAATCAAGCAAAATATTTTGTAAAATTATCATAATGCGGCTTGAAAAGAGTAGATAAATGCCTACGAGTGGAACAAGCAGGATTCAAAGACTAGCCTCAAAGACTATCTCTATATCTGCGCAGACAATGATTGCAACATTAACCATATAAGACACATGTGATTTCTATTTTCTTTCTTTTCCGTTTAGCCAAACTATGCCACAGCAACGCATGGCAGGGTACAGCTAGCAGACTAATAAAAATGCCATGTCTTCAAACATTTATCATATTTTGTGTCATTGCATATAATTTAACCGAGAACACATGTGGAGGAAAAAAAATGGGGTTTACTTTGTCTGAAATAATCATCATCATCATGCGGCTGTAGATTGTTGCAAAAAAAAGCAACTGAAAAATCCTTTATATTTATCACAGTCACAACCATCAAACTGTTCAGTAGTGTCTTCAAATTCACTTTTTAAAGCAAAATCAGGAAAATCACATGCATCCTCAGAAACATTAGGAGAAATATGACCACTACGATGGTTCCGAAAATTGTATGCTATTATGAAAATTGTCAATGTCTCACTGACATGGGAGATAACTAAGACATTTCATCAAATATTTATTTGAGCACTACAAAGTTATTTCCCTTAATTAATCATACAGAAGTGAAAAAGCTAAAGGCTTCAACTAAATTCGTCATCAAAATCACAATTTTAACATGATGGTGAGCGTCCAAAGCTACAATCGCAAGGGGTGCAGCCTTGGCAGCAAGAAGTAAACGTCGCATAATGTGCGACGTTGGTAGTAAATGGGTTAAAGGAGAGTGGTTTCAAGAGTACTGTAGAAGCAGCTTAGAAGAGATTATTAAAGGGTGGACTCTAGGGCCAGAAAGTGAGGCTCTGTTGTGATTAAACACTAAGCTTTGAGACAACTTGGTGGCATTGTGTTTTCATTTTCCAGGTAAATGGAACTATTTTCAGCCTTTATTTCATGATAGAAATCTCAATATTCTCTTTGATCGTGAGTGGGTACTTATTACTTATTAATCCTTAGCGGACATTTCTCCATTCTCGAAGAGCACTGTCAAATTGCTATAAATCTTAATTAATATTGTCACGTATGTTTTCTGTGTACATATGTTTCAATGTTGTGTAAATTGAATCCTTATATTAACATTGAAATTTAATGAACTATCATTGTTAAAAAGTCCCAAGTGTGAAGATAATTTTGGCAGTCTCTTCCGTGTGGTTATTTTGAATCTATCTTACTTACAGCTCATACACTGAAATGTATTCACCTCATGGGAAAGCTAATGCCAGAGATTGATCCAGGAGAGGAAAATGCTGAGAATTTATATTTGATGTTGCCCCAGAAATATTGTTATAATTCTGTGTGCATACATTATTTTAATTGTTAATTCCAAAACTTGTTCTGTTCAAGTGAATGTCAATTTTGAGTCTGCATGAAAGACGATATCAGACTTAGAGGACTCGACTATTATTACAGGACGTGAGTAGAGGAAGGCAGGAAATGTAACAAATACAATGTGAGACTAAGTCCTTCCAGACTGGACAGGAAAGAATGTGAATATGCGGGAGAGATTAAATAGGCATGTTTGGTGTAAGTCTAGATACTACACATATGCGTATTTTCTTTATCACAGTTCCCACATTGGGAAGGGACTAGTCGGCATCCATTCTTTGCAGACAGTCTGTGTGTAACGACCTGTTTGAAGCAGTGAGGATGACAAACTGGAAAAAGATAGGCAGGGTCTCAAACTGAGAACTGATGGAGATTTATTTTCTCTATTTGTTTCAAGTTGTTTACAACATCGTAACATCGTGTTATGTATTAATACCAGAAGAGAATAAAGTTGGAAGGGTTAACTGTGTTGTGTATCTTAAGATTATTTTCCTACTCCTGTGGATACAAGTACAGCTACCTTCATGTTATTGGAGGAGCTACTTTTGCAGTTTTCTTGGTTATCTAGGACTGTGTCTGGGATCAACATAGCTCAGATATAAGTCCAGTTCTCACGTAGGTGTGCTGTGTTGGGATAAAAACCTGACAGTTGAGGAGCTCGCGAGAATTTAAACCCATACTCCCACTAAATAAGTGGATAGTCCCGTGTGGGTTGGCGACTGATGTACTAGAGATAGGCACAATATAACAGCTATTCTGAAAACATGCACAAGTCACTCTAAACAAGTTAGCAAAGTGTTGTAGCTACTCTGGATGACAGTATGCAAGGAACAATCTTAGGAACATGAGTTTTCATGCGATAACATACGAGCATGAGTCACGGGCTATTTTGAAGGGACTAAGGAAAGAATGTGTGCTTTTCAGCTTAAGAGAGTGTTAAATGCTGAATTAAGATACGACATCACAGCACTAGGGACATTCCCATAAGTGCTCCATCCCCAAGTGCAGCCAATTCTGATGGTACCAGTAATGGTCTGATTGTATATCCATCTCGTCTTTCCCTTGCGTCCTGAGCGTCAGCCAGATTCTCCTCAGACCGTAATGATCTATCTGTGCCTCCGCATTGTTCACTTATTCCTAAAGGACTTTTATCAAATCTGGATAGTTTTGCATCAATATATCATCAAGTGGTGCACAACCAGTCAGTCTATCTGCCTGTTCATTTCCAAATACACTGGCACGACATGAGAAAATATCCAAATGACACTAACCACCTGGTACCTCTGTGACCCTTTGAAAATAAAGTTCGTTCGTTCGTTCGTTTGTTCGAAGTGTTGCTTGTCACTCTGCTCGGAGCATACCTGTTTTAACTTTTCTCAGTATGCTCTTCAAGTTAGTTACAACTACAACATGTGTGCAGAGCTGGCTCTTAAGCAAGTGGAAGGCTGTGGTGACCGCCTCTGCCTCCATTCTCTACATGTTGTTGTATTATATGCCGGACTTTGCTGCGCTAAGCGATGTCCATGCTAAGAACTCCCATGAACTTTGCTTCTCAGCACAGAGCATTTTCTACAGATAAGCACATCATCTGAAAGAGGTTTTTCATGAACCATTTGCCGAACTTCTGATTCTGCTGCATTCATGGCCAGTCCTTGCTTTCACAACCTAATGTGATTAGAACACTTCATAAGTCTGACTGGTTGCTCAGACACTTTGAACCACTTCTCTCCTCACCTAATATTGTCAAGCCTGCATACATGTCTACAGCTTTTGCCATCCAAGATCTACCTCATTTTAGTCTGTGACTATTAGCTCTATCTAGAGCTTTATGCATGAGGTACTTCTTGCCTGCAGCTACTCTGAGATTTGACTTTGCTTGCAGTTCTTGAAGCTTATCTGTAATAGTCAGCAATGCAAGTAAATATTGCATATATAGTACAGCGGTATCTCTTGTGCCTCCCAGAATTACCCGCACGGCTTCATTCTATATGCATTCAAGTTTCATCAGCCTATTTTTTGTTATACGGTATGCATTCCAAGTCCATAATCTATCAACAAGCTGGAACACTGTAAAAAGCATTCTTTGTTCCTTGTCCATTGCTGCCATAATCTGGAGTCCTTTTTGACATTTCACTGTAACTACCTTCATATGGTCCTTGAAGGACAGGCTTCTATCAAAGGTGATACCCAGGTACCTCAGTTTGCTTTCTCTTTTGATGTTCCAATCATTATTTGTGAGGTTTGGGACATTCGCTCTTACAATTCTATTGTCCAAAGAGTATCATAAAACAGTTGCCTTTTCTTATTCGATGACAGAACCCATTTCTGCACACCAGTCAGTCACTTTGTCTACAGTTGCCTGTAGCTCTTGGGCTCTGTTTGTACCTGGTATATATGCAAGAACATCAGCTGCATATGTCAATATTCTTGTAATAACTGATGAAGTTCTGCAATCTTGCTTGTATACACATTAAAAAGCATTGGAGAAATTGCAGAACTCTGGGGTGATACTGCATGGTTCTGAGGTCCAGGTGCCCAGGCAGAGGGCAACCATATGTGAATGCAGGAAAGATGCTAACCAGTTTACTAACCAGGGACAGACCGCCGTCTCCATGGACCAAGATACCAAAATACCATATCTGATTTTTTTTTAATGCATCCTTAAGAACAAGTGCTGCCACTGTCATCTCTTGCCTTTTCTAGAACCTCTCATAAACATCAAAGGCAAAAGTTACTGCATTTTAACAGGCATCTTTGCTTGGCTAGTAACTGCCCAAACCTCTCGACAGTTCTTCTGTTTCCAAAAAACTTCTTTCAGGGAGTATCACGGACCCAGAAGAGAAGAAATAATTATATTATCAATGATTTGAATACTCTGGTAATTAACAATACTGTTTCTTATAAACTGAATTGCTTCAGCCATATTAAACAGCATAATGGGTTGGAGAAAACAGCAATAGAGGGTAGTTCATGGGAAAATTGGCAGAGAATCTGGCATTTGGTGACGACACGCGTTCTGAAATGGAACTGCTGCTACATGATGATGAGATCTTAACTGAAGAAAGCAAAGTTTTAAATAAATCACAGAGGAGCAGAACAGCAGTGATAGAATAATTCCGTCAGAAACTATAGAGAAGTATGTATACAATAAATATTACACACAAATGCCAATGTTCTGCTGCAATAATGACATACCTTTTTGAACACAAATGGCTCTTCATCATAGACTGGATTAAGTCCATTGTTAGGAACAGTCTTTGTTCTAAACTTTTTTCGTACTGTATCTGTTGGCAATCCATACATATCTACTTCCACATATGTGCCTACTCGCTTATCAGACAGAAACTGTCCAGAGATTATCTGTAGAAAAATAGACTACAATCAGGCAAACAATATGAATATCAACAAAAAACAACATCAGAATGCAGTGTATGTATTTCAGCACATACTGAAAACAGAGATTAACAAACCCAGTGTACTTATGCAACAGCTCAGCAGTGGCAGCTTCTGTATTATATATTTATTGACAGTTGCAAGAATGATCTGGCTTCACCCCATGCTTTAACAGATGGATGGATGAAGTAACAAAAAAATATACAAATAAAAAGACAGAGATATACATACTGATACAAACAAAACAAAAAGATGCATAGGTGAAATATGAATAAACAGACATACAAAGAAATACAAGATGGACAGACAAACAGAAATTTAATTCCTTAAATATAGCAACCTTGTTCTGTCTGTGGAAATGAATCCCAGTAGAATTCTGACAGCAATTAACTGTCAGATTTCATTTTTCTTTTTTTTTTACACAATTACTTTTAAGTTCAATTTAACTGATGAGTCAAAAAACAGAATGTCCTTGCTCATACTGATTTTCCCAGCCACTTGCTAACCAATTCTATGATAATCTTAGCAAGAGTTTTTTTGTTTTTTTAACATCCATTATCAACTGTCAAGCTTGGATTTTTGCTTTTTCATTCAGAACAACTTTGTCTAGTTGTCTTGATTTCTTCAATTTGCAACACTTCTTCTACATCTTAGACTGTTAGTTCATTTATCTTTAGTGCTATTTATAAATCACATAAGCTTTGCAGTTAACTCTTCAAGTCTATTTCTTAATTTTATAGATTTCATACATTCTATATTTCCTACATTTATGTATGGATTCTGTCCAGCAGCTTTCATGTGATAATGTCAAATCAGAATTCATCATAGTTTCTCTTGGACATGCTCGCTTCCTAAATCTATATTGTTCCCATTTTAGTGCACGTTTCTTGATTATTTGTCGGCTTCCTCTCAGAATGTGCCCATTATACTGCAATTGTTTTCTCACTTATAACTGTTTATATATGTTTCTGCCCCAACATTTCTCTGATTTCTTCCCCTTTCTTAAATTCATACCATTTTATGTTTATCAAAATTTGTTTTCAAATGTGTTTGAATTATGTCCCATGTCTTCTGCGGTTCTCTGTCACTAACATATGTTAAAATCAAAATACTCTTGGAATGTAAAATGCATAACTTTTTAAACCCATAGTTTGCAGTTCCATACTTTGATGAGGTTGCTGTCTTGTCAATGTGTATCATAATTTCCCTCTTTATATTTCTTTGGTAATTAAAATGGCTGCACAACTGGGAAAACTATGCTATTGTTTTTATTATTTTTTGGTCTCCAACAATACATCTGAGTGGTCTGTTATTGATGTCGTCATATAACTAGCTGTCTTTTCAAAACTAGTTTGTGGTCTAATCTTTGATGCAGTTTGCTAAATCCTCCTTCCCTCTGCATATGATTTTTGTTCATACTAACATAGCCACATAAATTAGATCCTCCAAGTATGTGTTCTCCACCCAACTGATCTCAGTGTTTTCTGTACAACATTTTTTCATCACCGAATCAATATTATTACAAATAAAAGAGGAAATAAAAACACAATCTGGTTTCACTGCAGTTTCAGCCGTGCATGGATTAAGCCCCAGATCTTTTTGTTAAAGGTGGATAGCCTCTAAAACTCCTATGATCTCTTTATTTTACTATAAAACATCTTATCTACACACATCTTTACCAATGATTTTTAGCAGATTAATTGTGTTTTTCGTACAATGCATGAATATTTGAAACTTTATATCCCAATAACTATCACTTTGCACCTTTATAATGTTACTCCAGACCTAGGTTCTACACAAAAGGAATGCATCAAGCTTCATCCTATGTTTGAGATATATCAGTAATATCCGCAACAGGTACAGTAAAGTAAAGTGAAGGACCATTTTCCTTGATTTCAGGCATACTGGGTATATAGACTAGAACTGTATTTGACAGACCAATTGGCAATTAGTAAGTAATGTGATCAACATCACAGCAGCCATCTTTACTTCCCAGAACTTAACATAGTAACCATTTAAGGCTGGATCAACCTGTGCGCTGAGGTTATTATTGAAATTAGTGCAGCTCCATTATGGCTTGAAGCCATGACTGTAGGTATGTAGGTAAGATTAGCAACATGAGTGTTTCCTACTTATTAACATTTCTCGACACTTTCTTCTTCCTCATTTTCATGGATAGGCAGGTCTCTTACTTTATACCGGATTAGTCTCCAACTGTATCCATCTTTGATAATAAACCTTGCTTCATTACTCAGAATTCAGCTACCAACATAAATGTCTATGGTTAAATTTTCAAAACTTGCATGCTGAATGTTGAATTAAGAATCAACATCATAGCACTCAGGACACTCCCATAAGCGCTTCGTTCCCATCTTTAGCAGTGAATAAAGAGTTCCAATTCCGATGGCATCAGTAACTGTCTGATTGTATCATCCGTTTCACCTTTCTCTTGAGTCTTCAGCATTGGGCAGATCCCCTGATAATTCTTCACCGTGTCATTCTCCTCAGACTCCAGTCATCATCATCAAGTGCCTTGCCAGCTGGCGTAGGCATTCGTGCATAGCCACAGATCTCGGTCTTTGGTGTTTTGAATCAACTCTACTGATGATATTCCTCCATGCCACCGTCTTAAGCCATCCACCATCATTTATGGTTATTCTGGCAGTCCAAGTTATTCTCAACATTCTTCTCAAGAACCACATCTAAGAAGCCTCCTAACTCTTCTTAATTTGTTTGCTCACATTCCAAAATTCACCACCATACAACAGAACAGGCTTGATTTAACATTTCAAAACTTGTTTTCTGATATTTAATAGGAGTGATTTATTACATAAAATACTTTTTTTTCTTCTGAAAAGCTGCCTTTGCATGACCAATTCTGCTCTTCATTTCTGTCACACATCATCCATCTGATGTTATGAATGTTCCCAAATGCTTGAATTTATTTACTTGGTTAAGCAATTTCCCTTTTATTGCTAATTCATATTTTGGGGTTATCTTCTTCTCTGATATAACCATCGATTCTGTTTTCTTGATATTCAAGGAGAGTCCCTTTTTTTGCACTCTCTAGTAGAACAATGTCACATAGTTGTTGTAAGTCTTCTGCATTTTTAGCTATTAATACTCTATCATCTGCATAACAAAGATTGTTTTTAACTTCCAACAAGTATTCCTGGTCTATCCTTGACCTCCCTTATTATTATTTCACTATAGAGAGAGAAGAGATCTAGTGACAAATCACATCCTTGACTCACTCCTTGCTTTATCTGTTCTGTCAATGTTAAAATCCTTAAACAATTTCATGTTTCACTTTATCAAAAGCTTTGGTGTAATCTATTAAGCACAAATATATGTGTTTCTTTTTTTCCATTGATCTCTCTACTAATACTTGCAATGTGTATATTGCATTATTTGTACTTTTCTCTTCTATAAAACCGTACTGCTCTTCACTAATTTCTATTTTCTTTCTTGTTCCTCTCATTATAATTCAGAGAAACAGTTTAGTGGCATTGTTTATAAGGTTGATTGTATGAAATTCATCACATTCAACTGCCCCAGGTCTTTTAGGTAGTGCTTTAAATACAGACTTCAACATATCATTAGATGTGTCTCCACTGCTGTAAATATCATTCATAAGTTTAGTTGCTATGTCAAATCCAAATCACAGAGTACTTCTAATTCCTCTATTGTAATTCCATCTGGTGCAGCTGTTTTTCCTTTCTTCATATGTTTGACAGCATCTGAGACTTCTTTTAGTGTGGGTGGCCCTTCTAAGTTATTTTCTGTTGTTAAATCTGTTCTTTCTCCATTATATAATTCTCATATGTATTAATTCCATCTCTTTATTACAGAATTTTCATCCATTTATACCTTTCCTGTTTTTGATTTTAAACAGACTCCTTATCATCATCATCAGGTGTCTTGCCAACTGATGTGGGTGATCATGCCTCTCCACAATCTGCGATCTTCTACAGCATGTATCAGTTCATGTGCTGAAACACCTCCATTTCATGCAACAAGACTGTCAAGAATCTTTTCTCGTTGTCTTCCTCTACCCTCATTTCACAGATCTTTCTAGTGGTCACAACATGTTTCATTTTCCCTCTTCTCATAACATGGCCAAGAAAAATGATGTCTCCTTCTGATGTCTGTGATAATTTGTCTTTGGTCGCCAGCCTCTTTCAAAACCTCTTGGTTGTTCTTTTTGACTGTCCAGGGTATTTAAGGATGTATGTAGCAAGTAAGAATTCTTTTTCTAATCCTCAATGACATAGATATATTGCATAAGATGTTCTTCATTTTATAAAATGCAGTTTTTGCCTGTCCTATTCTGTTTCTTATCTCAGTAATGCATCTTCCATCTGACATTATCCATGTGCCCAGATACTTAAATTTCTGTACTTGTCCCAAAATAACCCCAATGATTTATATTCTACATTTAAAAATAATTCTTTTCTTTGTTATCTCCATTACATCTGTCTTTCCATTATTCAAACTGAGGCCTACTTTTCCACTTTCTATCACCACAATTTCTACAATTTCCTGTAGTTATTTCTGACTTGCTATCAAGACTGTTTTATCAGCATAACGTCAACTGTTTATATTATGCCATCCAACAACAATTCCGAGCATATCAATAAAAGATCTCCTTATATAGTCACTGTATAGTGAAAATAAATCAGGTGACAGTATACATCCATGTCGTACACCCCTCTTTATGCTCTAAAATGTACCTAAACAGTTGTTAATTCTTATAGCTGCTGTTTGCTGCCAATATATATTCTTTAATATTAGTAAATCTTTTCCATCAATGTTTAATTTTTCCAACAGTTTGATTACTTCTTTATGCTTCACACAGTCAAACGCTTTTGTATAGTCTATGAAGCATATGTACAAATCAGTCTTTACTTCTATAGTTCTTTCTGACAATGTCCTTAGGATGTATATGGCATTGTTTGTACCTTATTCTTCTCTTATTTCTAGTTTAATGTTGCTTTTTTTTTTTTTTTTTTTTCTCTTCTAATAATTATTCTAAGTAACATCTTAGTCATGTGACTCATATAACTTATTGTGCGATAATCTTCACATTTCAAAGTGCCTGGTTTCTTGGGCAGAGCTATAAGTATGGATTTTAAAAGGGCATTTGGAATGTACCCACTATTATAAATACCATTTAAGTTATTATTTCAATTCCAAAATCTCCCAGTGCTTCGATTTCTTCCAGTGAGATATTGACTGGCACAGGTGCTTTTTCTTTCTTCGTATGATGTATTGCATCCTCAACTTCTGCAGTCATTATTGGTGGACCATCATTGTTGGCCTGTAATTCCACATCTGGTCTATTATCATCATTAAAATCTCCCTATATACTTTGTCCATCTGTTAATTATATCACTATGTCCTATTATTAAGTCACCATCGTTCAATTTTAAACATCCAGTGCTATTACGTGTAATTTTTCCTGTTAACGTATTTATCTGTTGGTGCATGGAATGTAAGTCTTTCCTGCAATTTTACCCAACCTCTGTACACATGTGATTCAGCAAGGCTTCTTTAGCCACTCTGCATTTATTCACTATTTCTTTTTGTATTGTCAAGAATTATTCTTTTTTTCCTTCTTTCATCCATCAACTGCATAATTTTTGTTGACATCCCTTTCTTTTTTGCAGCTCTATGGGTTGGTGGGATTGTCTCTTCCGATGTCTGCTGAAATAGACTAACGCAACATATCAAACTGTTCATAAATAGTCTGTATAATTTCCATCGCATTATCCAAGTTTTGTACAGTGACATTGTGCTGTTCCTTAATTTCTTTATCCATTCCAAGTATTCCTACATTTAACTTGATATTCTTTGGTGTTTTCTCGGTATTCTTTAGTTTTATTCTAATCTTTCCTATAACTGCAACATGATCACTAAAGCATGTCTGCTCCTGGTCTAGTCTTTGCTCCAACTAAGCTGCTCTGGAATCTGCTTGAAATCAAAATATAATTAATCTGATTGCGGACATTATCACCAGGACCTTTCCAAGTCCACAATCCTTAAGGATTGTGTTTTAACCAGGTGTTACCTATTATCATGCTGTACGAGTCAGCCCATGCTATTAATCTGTCACCTCTCACACTATTCTCTCCTAGGCCATAGCCGCCTTTTATTCTGTACACTTTTTGACTTCCTATTTTCACATTGAAATCTCCATGCACCATTGTTACTTCACAATGTTTGCATTGATCAACAGCCATGTCTAAAATTTGAAGCTTAAACCATGCAGCTCTGAGGATGTTCAGTTTAATAAAATTGGCACAAAATGTTTATTTTTTATTTTTTAGAACATGCATCTTTCCTGTAGCAACATATAGATGTGGGTCATGGACTATCTCTCAGTCCTTAAGAAAGAAAAAAGGGGCTTTTAAGCTGAAATGCTATAGAAAGATTCTTAGAATAAGTTGGACAAAGAAGAGGAGAAATACTAACATCTTGAAAGATCTGAACATTAAGGAAGAGTGGCTAATAAACAGCATCCTGTCTCGGAAGCTGACATATTTTGGTCACATCAAGCACCACAACGAATTGGAAAAAAATAATAGCAGAAGGCATAGTTCTAGGAAGAAGGGGCAGGGGCGACCAACACAAAAATGGGCACAGGATATAAGTGACTCCTTGAGTATGAAAGTGCATGAGGCGGGAGAGCTGGCCATGAGAGCGACGTTCTGCAAAGGACCAGTTACATGATGATAATATTATACAAGACAGTGAAGATGCTATGGCTATGAAAGACCACACTGTTGAAGAACTGTCTTTCATGTGTGCTGTGACAAGAGTGACGTTTTGTAAAGGAGCTGCTGATATTATATTATACCCCTTAAAGTATAATTAAAGTCCATCATAAACTGCACTGCTTGGGGAGACACGAATAAGTAGCATTCAGTTACAATAAGTAACTGTGCTTTTGTGAATGACCCAATGCTATACTATATCACATAATAACAATCTGCCACGTCTATTTTTATTATTAACAAAATGCATTTTTAAAGTAATTATTATAACTACCCGTGGATAACCTGTAATACATTTATTTCTTAAAACATACTTTAACAGAAACCGTATTAGCAATGATGCCATCTACTGTTGACTCTGCAAATGGATCAAAGTGTCTGTCCGGTCTTCGCATAAAATCCGGTTTCAGAATATATCCTGTGCGACCATTGTACTCAAATATACCCAGGTTGACCTGCATGGCTAGATCTGGAAGGGGTGGGGGTGGGGGGGGGGGGTGGGGGGGGCATATACAACATAAAACAATGATTTTCAGAATCTGAATTTTACAAGAAAAAGTAAAGTCAGCAGCTGCATATATTAATACAAATTACGGATAAGGTGTTAAGCTCATTAAAAAAATATAAATTCAGGTGAAACTGTGTTGCCGTTTTCATGTCATTCATGGTAAATTTCGCCCTACAGAGAAGGAGTGCCCTTGATGCTATCACAAGAGGCAGATAGAGTACTATAAGAATGGGAAACAGTGAGTCTGTGAATAAAAAGAGTCATTTAGAACAACACAATTTTGTTTTTAAAATATGAACATGTCTGCAATGCAGTGTTATGAACCAATAAATGATAAGGATGAATCAATTAGGAAGGAATTTTACATGACACCTGGAAATTTTATAATGATGAAAAGGCGGACAATTTAAAAATGTGTATTTGTGATCCTATAATGCGGATTATACAAGAAATGTTTGTGACCATAAGGACTAGAAGTAATGAATGAAAGTAGAAAATTATTAATCAATTATTGTGCATAGAAACAATACGTTATTGATGGAAGCATTTTCTAAACATAATACATAAGGCAACATGGAAATCACCAGACCATAAGATTATTAAGCAAATTTATCATATCTTTATAATTCAAAACAATGTTTTCCAATTGTAAATTTTTAAAATGCTGATATAAACAATAGAGAATGCAGCTATGCAGGCTTTTATGGGATTATCAGACCAACCCCAGTAATGTATATCCAACTGTTGCAAGTAGGCTCAAGGTGGGGAAGGCGAAGTCATACCTCAGAGTAGTTGCAGACATAGTCACCCTTTAAAATTTCTCCCTACAGCACTTTTCAGTGAAAATGGTGACAGATTGAAGAGGGGAAAATCATGGCTAGGTCAGGCAGCGGATGTTGTCAAGCAAATATGCAGCCTAACTGACATCACCCATGGTGCAGAGTGGATACACTTGCCACATGCATTTATTTGTACATTTTCCTGTATTGACACACTCAAGAGAATACTGTTGCTGTCAAAACAGAGGTCAACGCTCTCGTCAGTAAAAATTTAGATGAGGCAAAGAAGCCACCGGAGAGTTCTCCGTGACCACCAGCAGTACGATGATGGAGGTGATGGCAAGCGTTCGTGAGGCTCGAAACACAATACTATACCCGCGCATGTGTACTCAGTGATTAAATAAGTATGATCCAGAGGGTTCAGGCAGGTTCGGTGCGAAGGCAATGGCTTGAATCATTACAGAAGTCCAGTGGAATCACCTTTATTTTCGTTCCGGGATACCCTGGCATCGAATGAAATTAAAGAGCTGATAAGTTAGCTGGATCCATTATTACTAACAACAGTCAACCTATGAATCATGCTGATATTATTAATGCCTTCCCAGAAATGGAAAGAGTGGAGGACTTGGGGACAGTGAATCCACATCACTCGCCAGGATGATAGACTTAGTAGTTGGGATCGGCATAGCAAAAAACGAGACACACTCCCAGGCACATCAGAGGACTTGTTAATCAATATAGAACTGGTACTATTAGCCACCGGACGCTGGGATTCATACGGGGAGGGGGGGGGGGGGGGGGGGGGGGGGGGAGATCTGAGCACTTATGATTGCAATGATGATAACCCAACAAACTAACTAACTAACTAACTGACTCACCAACTAACTAATTAACTAACTAATTATTCATCCTTTGCACGAAGCACTGGATGCAGTAAAGGGTTTGTGACTGATAAAATGGAAGTCATGATTGGCTCAGGCAGAGGACATGAACTGACAGGTTTGCATCTGAGAGAACAATAGGCAAGGAGAGGAATGGGCCAGAGGGCCAGCGGAACAGTCAGACTTGTCTACAGTCATAACTACATTAAGCTGGGAGTGACCAAGGTGCCACAGAGGTGGAAATTCAGCAACTGATTCAGAATAATGCTTGCTTAGGTGGTATGATTATTTATATAGCCTAGTTAAGCAATCTTATAATCTGCCCTCCTCCTTACTGGAGGAAATACAGATTTCAAAATCAAGAACAAACTTGGTAGTGGACATTAAATAGTTACCAAGTGTTTGGAAGTTAAGAGCTACCAGCTGACATCCTGCATTCCAAAATACTTGGGGCATAAAGTTACTTGAATCCACTCTTGTTCCTCTGGGGTAGATTCGACTCATTTGCCGCTTGTTATAACTGTACATGGTTAAGGGTGCTAAAGGTGGATCGAGCATCAATAACTTAGGGGAAGGCAAATGTAATTTACAGGCCATTTCACTGTGTGGTCGTGTCAACTGAAAGGTTTAACCTACTAGATTCTTACATTTTTTACCATACACAAAAAAACTTATGTTAATTTGCACCTTCATGAAAACAATCATTCAGTTTTGCTAATATTTAGTGATAATTCCTTCATTTTATTTTCCTTCACAACCTTGTTTAGAATTTTGCAGATAACTGCAATTAAAACTGTCTTTTCTGTACATATTGAACAGTAAGTTAAAGTGAAGAACCTTTTTCCACGCCTTGAGACGTGTTTCGGCATATAGGGATAGACCTATACTTTATAGACCAGTCGGCACTCAGAAGGTAATGTAGTCAATATCATGCCAACCACCTTTACTTCCCAGGCTGTCACCTGCTACCCATTTAAAGCTGGGTCGACCTGGGAGCCAAAAATGTCCAGCTCCTTTCAGATTTAAACACATGACCTTCAGATCTGTAGATGAGCATCTAGCCGCTACACCACATCAGCTCGTAAAACACATCTCAACATGACAGTCAACTAAGGCTATTGCATTTCTATATTTTTTCACAGCAGACAAAAAGCAACAAAAATTAACATCACAGCCTAACACTTACGCTATCCAGGCATGGTCCACTTGCTCGCACTTTGGGTATACAGCCACGCCACAGCTGACGCTGACAAACACACAGTCGGCACGATCAACGGTCTTTGCTGTAATCACTCCACAACTTTCACTCCTTATCAATCAGGATTCACTTGGTTTCCCTCTGGATTCATTTCCAATCCGATCTTTTTTGGGGTCCTGTCACATATTTCCCTAGACCTTGTGTTGCCAGGTGAGCTTGACAATCTCGTGTTTTGCCATTCTTCTGTGGACTTCATGTCTCTCACTTTAGGGATTTCCCCAAATCTGTCAAATCCCTTATGTTTTACCTATTTATAGCATCACTATTACATAGTTCATCCTTATATCTCAACTTATTTCCACAATATATATTCCTTATTATGCTGAGATCTCTAGCATACATGTTAAAATCATAATGTTGTGAGATGCCCTTCATGTGAACGAAGATACCAGATACAGCATACCACCAAACATCCCCCCTTTCAACCTTTGCTACAGCCTCTCCACAATCCGAGATCTCCTGCAGCATGCATCAGTCTGTGTCTGACACACCTCTATTCCCTGCAACAAGACTGTCAAGAATCTTCTCTTGTTGTCCTTCTCTATCCCACCTTCTACAGATATTTCCAGTGGTCACAACATGTTCCATTTTCCCTCTTTTCATTACATGGCCGAAATGATGACTGTCTCCTTCTGATGTCAGTGATAATTTGTCTTCGGGCTCTCGCCACTTTCAAAACTTCTTTGTTGTTCATTTTGCATGTCCAAGATATTTTAGGATGTATGTAGCAAGTAAGAATTCTTTTTCTAACGCTCAATGACAGATATATTGCATAACATGTTCTTAATTTTATAAAATGCAGTTTTTTTGGGCAGTGTGAGGAAAATATATGTTTTCACGTCCCTGGAATGTAGCCAGTTTTAAATATTCATTATTTCAATAATGGCATCAATGTCAAAGTCAGATAAAGATTTCGTCCTTTCTGTTATTATTTTGTGTTGTTTCCTTTCTAGATCCTCTATCCTTTTCATCTAATCTTATATCTTGTAAACAGGCAATTAGCTGTTCATGGTGTACCCTATCAAAAGGTGTGTTGTGATTTATAAAACATGGATTAAAAAAAGAAGTGTTGTGAAAATAGGCTACTAGTTCTGACTACTTTTATATCAAAAAGGTTTTTAATTTTGCGCTCATTTGTCAGAAGATAAAAAGAAATACAAAAACAACCAAACAATGACTCGTATCTTCTCTCTGACTGCTTTATTTCATCATTTCATCATGTGTCATGCCAATAGGCTCATCCAGAATTAACCATGAGGTCCATTCCATGCCTTGTGGTCAAGCTAATCGTGTATTATTTCTTTGCTTTTCCCATGATCTTTTTTCACACAGATTTTTCAGTTGCCACCAAATTTTTTATGAGCATTCCTTCTCAAAAAATGCCCAAACATTTTCAACAGTTACTACTTACTGAAGACCTTCTACTAGTGGAAATGTTGGTAGCCCTACAGCTACCAATGGCCTGTTGGACATTCCTTTAAAGACAGGGAGTTCTTTATACTTATCTTTGTTTCCATGTTAAACCAGTATAAAAGGAGTGACAGGTTATTTCATGGGAGGTAAAGATTGTGTTATATTGACTCCATAACTCATAAAATATTGACCTGTCTTAAAGTATGGGCCTAGCATCATATACCTAAAATACTTCATTCCATCCAAAAGTCTTGTACATTTTTTACATTTATTTCTTCTACTGTTTACAATCAGTCTCATAATGATAATTTTTGCACATAATGGCAAGGATACTTCACAAAATCCACTGGGAATTCCTTCAAAAGAGATGTACCCTGGGTTTCTACAAAAGAAGTTATTTCAAAACTTCTTCTGCGTTCTGGCAAGATTTAGAAAAAAATTTGAAATTACGAACACAATAGTGATTAATTACTTAATAATGGTTGAGTTAATAACACCACAGTATTCAGGACATTTCCATAGGCGCTTTGTCCCCATCTTAAGTAGACAGTGCAGAGTTCCAGTTTCGATGGCGCACTGCATGTTTGTTCTTAACCAACACACCTGCTTCACCTAGTAAAAATATCCAAAGGATGTAAACTATGTGCGATTTCAATATGATTAGAACTGTACATAAGTCTAATTGTTGCTCAGACACTTCGACTACCACTTTTCTCACCCAATTTTTTTAAAGCTTGCAGTACTTATACCACTGTATATCATCACTGAAAATTCAGATGAAGCAGATGTTCTGATCTACACAGACGGATCTGTTATACGCCAACAGAGAAGCGTATGGGCTTTCACAGCATGCTCAGCGGGCAATATAGTCAAATAAGCCAACAGAGCCTTCTCCATGACAATCAGCAGCACGGCGATGGAGGTGGTAGTAAGGCAAGCGATCGCGTGGTTCAAAACACAAAACTACACCCGCACATGTGTAATCAGTGATTCAATGAGTATGATCTGGAGGGTTCTGGCAGGTTCAGTGCAAAGGCAATATCCTGAATTATTACAGGTCCAGTGTGCGTGGAGTCACCTTTATTTTCGTTCTGGGGCATGCAGGCGTTGATGGAAATGAAACAGCTGATAGGTTTGCTAGATCCGCTATCACTACTGACGGTCAGCATATGGATCATGCTGATATTATTAATGCCCTCCAAGAAATGGGAAGGGTGGAGGACTTTGGGGGGCAGTGAATCCACATCACTCGCCAGGATAATAGAATTGGGAGTTAAGATCGGCATAGCAAAAAACTAGACACACATCAGGCATATCAGAGGACTTGTTAATCAATACAAAACTGGTACTATTAGCCACTTCTGAATGCCTATTAAATATTAAAAAGCAAAAGTGGTCGAATTTGACAGGTAATTTTCTTCTTCGTCAGTAACTACTAGAATCTCTTGGGATAAGCACTTCCTTTTTAAAAATGTTTGCAGTGTAAAAGCAACAATATCCTCCAGCGTTTTACCAAATCTATTTTGTAGATCGATAATCCTGAAGCCTATGATCCCTGCCTGGAACTGAAGTGGCATTAAACAGCTGTGCACACTATCCCAGGATAGTGACTGTTCTAATGCTCTGGTTGAAGTGACAAGCCATCTCAGCCAAGTCTTCATTACATTTATCCTTCATGTGGCCACACCTGACTCCATCTTATTGTGACTGCTGTGGTGGCAAATTATTTCTCTACATCTGACTGACAAATTTCTATAACGTTCCCATTGTTCCATTTTATTAATGTTTCCATTTAAATTTGTTGTGCATTAGCTGCACGTCACTTGAACTTTTCCTCATTTCCTTTTTAACCCTTCGCTAATTCCTCTTGTAACCTTTGGGGTGTCTGCCACTCTATATGTAATTGTTTAACTGAGCCTCTTTTTGCTTTCCAGACTGGTTATACTTCTAGGGTCCATCACAGAGGCTGCCCACAACTCATGGTTCCGTTGCATATATATATATAATTTCTGTAAAGAATTTGTTGTTATTTTTATAATCTAAAAATTTTTGTGGGGGAGAGAAATGAATGAATATATATATATAATACATATGTCTACTAAACAGAAAATAAATAACTTCCACTACAGTTTGCATACTTACTTTCTGAAACTTCAAAGGAATGGAAATGAACAGGTTGAATGTAATTAACTAACAAAGACATTTCCATGGCAGCAGATGCTTCTTTTCCAGCAGTACCCTGTGGGTGGGTGCAAGAGTTTCAAAAGTTAGATGAAATGTTCTTAAACTCATATATCACATATTTTAAGTAGGCATTTTAGTGAGACACAATGTGCATGACTATATGCATTTATAAATATATGGTCACAGGTCACTGAATAATAAACTGAGCCTGAGTCATCACATCTAGTAGCATCTCATCTCTTTTGGTTTATCAGGTCAACTTCTTGAAATCTCTTTCATGAGTCAACACCACGAAGTTCAGCAATGGTGAACACATCTGAGTTCCATGTGACAGCACTACTTCCCATTCCACAATCTTTCTATTATAATGGAGTATATGCCTGCCAGCCTTCTCATGATACACAATATTTATTCAAAAAAGGCAGGTTTTTTCACTGTCTTTCAGCACTCTGTCTCTCATGGAATTTGAGGTTTATATTGTACTTAGTAGATTTCCAAGACAAGAAAAATAGGGTGAATGGGTCAGATGCCCACCCTACACATCATCAAGTGTTTTTTTTTATTCCATGTTATAAGACAAGGAATTTTGTCTACCAGGAGTGAAATAAAACATACAGCCTGTAAACTTTATGTTACAGACAGTTTAGTTGTGTGAAAAATAAAATATTGCTCTATATTTTCAGGATTGTGTCCTAGATGGAACACGTTCTTATGGGATTAAAAAGGACTGCACTGATCAAAAAGTCAGCTGGAACAGGGTGGGGAACTCCCCTGAAATGCTCAAGAAGGCTTACATTATTGAATAAGGCATATCAGAACTAGGAAAAAACATGTGTGAGCAATTTATAGAAAATGGCAAATGTACAAAGCCGTCGAGTTATGACAGACAGCCTATGCTCATCACCAATAGCAGCAATGGAAACAAGGTCAGGCTTTCAATCCACGGAGGACAGGATTAATTCAACGATGATCAACCAATACTCAGATCTGCAGCACTAGAAAAAGACCCCATGCATAAAAGACTATCTAAATCACAGATCTACTGTTAAACAAGAAAAAAATTTAAACAGTGACAAAATTACACACAAAATACAAGTTTCCACTTTCTGATCACAGAATAAATGTGTCTATGTATCCTGTAATTATATCTCTACTAATGATGTATTTCCTTCTTCTGCATCCACTGCAGTGATAATTAAACTCATCTGACAACAGTGATAATAAATACAAATGTTCTGCATGGTACTTTCTGAATTTGGGTGAATATGTATTTGTATGGCATAGAGAGATATCTATACCAGTATACTAACAGAGACTTTCAGGAAACATTTGGAATGGATAGAAAATGTCTGTGGGTGAAATACTTTTGATTTCCCAGTCTTAAAATTTAAACTGTCAGTGTTCAATAATTCACATTTATAATAAAAACTCATACTTTGTGTACATTTTCTTAATACCTTCCATCTTTTTCTTCTACTAAGTTACTCTGTTCTATTCCAATTGCTACTTTAACTTATTCTATTTTATAAGTGTAATATTTTTAATGAATTTAGATATTAATCAGGGTACACAAACTTTAGTTAGGAGAGAACATTGCTGAAGTAACAACTGCTTGGATACTGTGAATAAGCAAGTAATTACCAATTCCTAAATAGCAGATATGTTATATTTAAACTAGCCACAGACTGATTGAATTAAGCAGCAAGTATAGTCATGTTGAGAATAAATCTCTGGAAAGTGAGCTTAAGTATGTACACATGGATTATTATAACATCTCTTCTTGATGACAGAGTTCCAAATCATTTTTTCAATGGTGTCAACCATTAGCAAGGTATCTTTTCCTTTTTATACCATTATCTTAGCAATACAAATGTATATGTCAAAATGCCAAGTGGCAAAGGCACATCAGTTTAAGAAACTACAATATACCTTTTCTTTCTTCATTCTTTGCCTTCTTTTTTTTTCTTCCTCTGTCAAGACATTCTTCTGTTTTTTCTTAACTTTTCCCTCCTCTTCTGGCAAAACATCCTCTTCATATTCACTGTCACTAGAATCTGATTCACTTTCAAATGCATCATCTGCATCTTTGGTAACATCAGCTATGTCTGGGTCTTCACTGTCAAAATTTAAAAAAATTAAAAAAAAAAACACTTAGCTTATGCGAGAAAACAAATCATAGTTCAGGTAATGAAGTATATGTGATTCACATGACAAAAAATGGGTGCTGTAATCAACACAGAAAAGGTGCCGGTTTCAACATGCTCTCTAGGCAACATAATTGTCAGAGACAATGTCCCAGGCCTCATTGTTAATGATAGAAACATCAAAAGAGAAAGTAAACTGATGTACTTTCAATAGAAGCCTATCCTTCAAAGATCATGTGGAGTCAGTTGGGACAAAATGACAAAAAGGACTGAATGCACTCAAGACTATGGTCGTAATGAACATGGAACAAAGTATGCTGTTCACCACGTTCCAGCAAGTGATCCTCTCAGTGACAGATCGTGGACTTGGAATGCTTACTTACTGTATCAAAGACAGGCTTGATTTCTCAATTTGTGACCCTTTAAAAATACAGTTTTTCGTTCGTTCGTTCGATGTTAGCTGCGAAGATACCAAATACGTGGCCGGGGGACAACACAAATGGTGGTCATTGAATGTGTAAACTTTATTTTCAAAGGGTCACAAATTGGGCACGCAGGCCTATCTTACATTCGGCCCTTAATTGAGAGAAGGAGCTAGCTTGTGCGACAGCAGGATCTATAAAATAAGTAAAAAACTTGGTGGCATCGCCATCGGTGGGTAAGAGGTGCCATTATAACCTTTCCACCCTGCTGCATTGCAGGGTATGTCTCTTAAGACAAAGGCTATTGAAATTGAACCATTAACAAACCCGCTGAAGTCAAGGGAAAACCACTGCTGTATTATCCCTAGTCGTGCCTTTAAACCAATCCTTAATAGGAGTTTTAATGAAAGGGAAAAGTAAATGTCAGAAACATCCTAAACATTGGTACATAGAAAAGATATATTTATATAACATCTCATAAGTACAGAAACAGGTATAATATAGGATATCTCAGGGATAAAGAAATAAGGGAAAAATTTTCAGTTACAGTCTCTAATAAGTACCAGGTGTTGCAGCAGTTAGCTGAAGAAGTAAGCACCGAAGTCTGCTAGGATCAGATCAAGGCAATTAGGAATTAATCTTGTGTAGAAGTCCTTGGTAAGAAAGAACCGAAACATAAGGTATGGATAACACCAGAAACCATAAAAACGATCGAAGAAAGGAAAAGTTAAGGACAGATTTAAATAATAGCAAAACTAGAGCTGCTAAAGCTAGAGCTCAAGAAAAAAAAAATACTAATAAGGAAGTTAGGAGGCGAATAAGGGCAGACAAAAGGAAATATACTGCTAAAAAAAAATAAACGCATAGTTATCCGATGGCGCGTTTTTATTAGTTTGTAAATAAAATACACTCAGGTATGTGAAAAGCAGACTCAAATGTTGTTTGCAGTGTCCAGTGGACATGTCGGTGTGAAGTGCGTAGGTTTTTGTAATCGTTACAACACACTGGTCAATAGTGTTTAAGACCACATTTGTGAGCATAGCTCATGACGCGCCCATGAGAAAGCAACACAATTTGCGATGTACACTATTCACTGCCTACGAAAATGAAACACTATAAAAGGATAACGCTACACTAAAACGATAAGTCCATTTTCAAGCAGTCACGAATGGCACCTCTATCGATATAAATTTAAGGAATATTACTATTGGCCAATTGCAAGAAGGAGAAAGTCAAAGTCAGGCTGCCAGGCATCTAAATGTGCTTCAAAGTACCATCAGTCGACTTTGGCACCGGTTCAAAGCCACTGGTTTAGTTGAAGACCAACGATCGCAGTGGACAACCCAGAGTGACAGCAGCAGCGGAGAATCGCTTTTTTTGGGTTCATCACCTCAGAGACAGCTTTACAACAGCTTCTTTAACTGCACAGGCATTGCCTCCAGGTCGTTGTGTGTCTGATCAAACTATTTAGAACAGACTGCATCATGTTGGACTTCGGGCTCGATGACCACACCGAGGACCTGTCCTTATGTTTCGCCACCGCCAAAATCTACTTCTTTGGGCCAACCAACATTATCCCTGGGCAAGTGACAATCAGTGGACACGTGTCTGCTTCAGCGATGAATCTTTCTTTTTGTTGCAGTGTCATGAAGACAGTGTAGGGTCTACTGTAGATGAAATGAAGGTTTAGCCCAAAATTGGGTTGATAAGCTCTGCTGCACGGTGGTGGAGGTGCAATGGTATGGGGAATGATCAGTTACACTGGAAGGAGTCAATTGGTGCACATTGAAGCAACACTTAACACCGCTGGCCTGGGAAATAAAACAGAAGAGATTATTGAAATGATGGAAAAAAGGAAAATCAAGTTAATGGGGCTAGCTGACATAAGACGCAAGGGAAATATTAATAAGAAAATACACAGAGGCTACTTACTAACATATGCAGTTGGAGGACCATCGAAGAATGGAGTGGGTTTCCTGGTACATCCGGACATATCTAACTACATATTAGACATACATTATCACTCAGATAGAATTATTACTTTGAAAATTAAAAGAGGAGAACAAGCTGAAACATATATACAGATATATGCACCATGCAATGATAATTATACAGAAGAGCAGAAAGATGAATTCTTTGACGATCTGTCTGATGAGATAAAGAAAGTTGAGGGAAGCAGCATACTATATGTAATGGGTGACTTCAACAGGAGGGTAGGAAATAACAGAAGAGAATACGAACAGTTTTTAGGTCCATATGCAGCTAAGAACAGTGCTAGAAATGGAAATGGTCAAAGAATATTGGATCTATGCAGCCAGCACCTTTTTATTATGAACACATTCTTTGACCATAGAGATCTTGTAATGCTGACTGTTCTACCTTGAGCATTTCAGAACATATGATTAGTTTTAAAATTTTCCTTAAAATTCCAAAATTACCATACCATGAACACTCAAGGATAATTTACTTGACCAGATATTTAGATGTTTATACTCTAAGCCCATTCTACAACCTGTTGTAAAAAAAAAAAAAAACACAAGAATACAATACAGTGATATCAGATACCTGCTTATTGAAAGGTTCTTCTCAAGAACAACTCTGGTAGGGGACTTTGTTTCAGGGTCAGGATGGAGACTGGGTACTTGATCTGTACTGCTGCTCAATGACTCTGGTAATCCAGAAGCAATTACAGTCAGAAGAGGTAATTCAGGATCCTCCTCAACTTCACTCAATCTAGTCTTTGCAAGGCCTTCACTGAAGGTACCTCCTGTTGGTGGTTTCTGACGTTTCTTAGACATGTTTTGAGCTAGGAAAGGAAGCAAACAGTAGGAAAGGATCAATCAGTTACCTATCTCTGACACTTAAGTTGACTGTTATCAACCACATAAATTAACTTATCTATATTACGTGTTTGCGAACTTAAATCATTATAATCATATGCAATGGCAATAAGAGTCGGTAGTCATTGTTCACCATCCCATGAGATACCAGATTCTCAGGTCTGTTCCGTGCTGTCCTGATTATGCGATGTAGCCAAACCATAAAAGCTTTTATCTCAATCTTTTCTGCATGCTCTTTTTTTCATAAAGTTTGCCAGTGTCACTAAATTTTCAAGTTTATTTCTCATTATCACATAATACACCAATTTTGACTGTGCATATCTAATTTCTTGAATCAATTTACACATCAAATCTGTTTCTTGAAGGCATTGGTTTTTCTGTCTGATAATTGTATTCATTGTATTTTCCATAGTAACCACATTATTACTAAGGTTTATTTCAGCCTGTTTGGTTTTGTCAGTGTGATAAACATATATAGGTTGTATAAGAAACAGTACAGGATTCATTAGTGAAGATCAAAACCTATTCTTGAATTCTGAGAAAACAAAAATAATGTCCAAAGACAAAACTGCCTGTCACCCAAAAATAATAAATAATGAAGAAATTGAAAATGTCACAAACTTTTAATATCTAGGCTCTATAATAAATAGCAATGGAGATTATTTGGCCGAAATCAAAAGGAGGATAGAGATAGCAGTGCTAAGATTAAACACCAATAAAAGTCTATGGTTAGGCACCAGCAAGGAAATCAAAATCACAATTCTGAGAGTATGCATTTTTCCTGTGGCAACATATAGATATGAGTTGTGGACTATCTCCCAGTCCTTAACTCTTTCAGTCCTAGAAACCCAATGAACGCATGATGCGCCAATTTTATTACTTTCTTTACTACCCCCTGGGCCTGTGATGCTAAACCCCCTGGGACTCAAAGAGTTAAGAAAGAAAATAGGGGCTTTTGAGTTGATATGCTATAGAAAGATTCTTAGAATACCATGGACAAAGAAGAGAAGAAATACTGACATTTTAAAAGATCTTAACATCAAGGGCACAGCAAATAAGCTTGATTCCATTTTAAATACCGTAAATCTGGGAGAAATGTGGCTTTTCTGCCCACCCCCGGAAGTGAACCCGGACCACAAGGAGCTCGTCACCCCCTCACTGCGAAATCCGGTTTAGCCAACTACGCTAGAGAGACGGGCGTTAGTATAGTTCAGATTTAGAAGGGGGAAAAAACTTGGTTTTCCAAATGGAATATGTTTCTCCACGAAGCATTTTCTGTAAGATATTATGAACGTTTCCAGACAGCTCTATTCATTCATTTGTTTAAGAATTGTCCAATTCGGATATCAAATTATTTGTGTGTGTGTGTGTGTATGGTTCTTGGAGATGATTGTGACGAGCTGGTCTGGATAACTGTTTCTTACCTATTAATTATTGCTTCATTAAAGCAATATTATAAATTTCTTCATTTTAAAGTGAAAAAGTGAATAAGAACCAGAGTTAGATTCTCTAGCTTCCCCTTTCAATGACTTCCTGTTGACAGTTCACTTTCTTTCAAATACACTTGAACTAGGAGACAAACATTTCTGTCTTGCCTCTTCTACTGGTTTAGAAAACCCTAGTTGGTGGTCATTGCTAAAGCCTAACTGTGTTTAGAATTCCTACCATGGGTGAATGAATAGTATTATTATTCTAAATTGACCAACTGCTGCTAATTCCTCTGAATTAATTTTATCTGCTGGACTCTATAAATGTGCTGACCACATGTAGAAAAAAACCTTGATAAATTTCTTTACTTGCTCTTTTTATGCTATAGTATGTACATGTATGTAAACATATGATCTATTTGATGACTAATATACTGTTGTTGTTGTTTTTTTTTTTTTTGCTACTAGAAATGTTAATTGGTATACTTGATTGTTATAATTATATTTAATAAGTGACAATTAATGTCCCCCTGTGAAATCTGAGGCATGTTAATTTCTAGCATGGTGAGATTTGATTAATAAAGGAGACAGGTGTATTTCCAATATACCTTATCCTTACTAGGTTTATTTAACCTCATTGTGATTTTACTTTTGAAAATCACTAATTTAATTAAATTTAGATTTAGTCCAGAGAATTCTGAGACTAGTTTAAGAGCTTGAAAATGGAATACCATGTGGTGGCTTAATTTATTAGATTCACACTGTGGGAGAAGAAGAAGGGAGGTGTATGCTTGAAATAATTACTGTTATATATAATTCTCTATTACTAGAAATGCATTTTCAGTGCCAATATGTGTGGTCCTACAATTTTAATAACAGTATTTCATCCTTGCAAACTTCTTAACTCTGCTGAATAAGATTGTTCACATGTATTCATTCAAAGTTAAACTGGACTTAGTGTTAAATTTGTTTTGGTAATAATGTGACCAATGGGAAGCCCATTGTCATCTATGATTGTGTTATGACATCTATCCCAGCACACAGTTATACTGAGATATTTATAATTCCATTCATTTTCAAAATGCTCAACGCACATGAGTTTCTTTCATGTAAATTTTTGTAATATGAACCCATGTTGTTGAAATGAGAATACCCTGTCCCGCCTTTCAGTATAAATAATGAGTAAGAAACCACTTGGGTAATCCAGTCAACGAGACTTGCAAGAGGAGGGACTAGCAACATGGACCCTTATATGTTAGGAAGAATCTTCAACCTTCAGCCGTTGAGACAGAGGACGAGGGACTAGTCTCACAGACCCTCTCAATCAGGAGCCTTCAGTTATAGAGATCTCAGCTTAACACTAGAAGCAGAGGAACCAGTCAAATGGAGCCTTGAAGACAGTCACAAGAAAAGAGACACGAAACAAGACATCGAACTACAGAGATGGCAGACAAGATACATGGATCCATGGTCAACAGAGACACATCAGATGGAAACATGATTGAAATGTTAAGAGTCAACGATTAAGCCTGAAAACCAAACAGTAATAGGAGCCAGGTGGCAGTTACAGACACTAGAACCAGTTAACAAAGTAACTAGAGACACAACACGATCTCAAGAGATGTACCCACAAAGCTAAAACAGAATATCATTGATGTTATTTGTGACATTGCTGAGGTATCACAATAAAGACAGTACAGAAAAGAAGAATTGTTTACAGACATTTTATTATACAAGCATCAGTCACGTGAGAAGCATGCAGCAAGCACATCATCACTACTATCAACACGACCATCTTTCTCCTTGTCTATATTCTTTCAATTGACTCTTCCTGTAGCAAACCTAAAGACAAACCTGGGTGTGACATCAACATACCCAAGGATGACAGTTGTACTACACAGCTAAGGGTCAGTGGCTAAAAGGGGGGAAATCGTTGACGGCTCAAGCATGAGACACAATAAGACAAGTAGGCATGCTGAAGAAAATTGGGCGAAGAGAGGAGCACCAGAAGAAAAGTCTTACCTGTGTAGGGTTATGATCAAACTGGAGCTGGGAGTGCAGAGAGTGGCTAGCAGGGGCTACTGAGGTGGAAGTCCAACAGTTGATTCACGGCAATTCACGCCCAGGTGATCTGATTATCTATACAGATGGTTCAGTGATGAGACGAAAGAGAGGTGCCTGGGGGTTCATAGTGAAAGCCAATGGAAAATCTTTAGTGCAAGACAGCCTAGCATCATAACATCTAGCATGAGAATAGAGGTGGAGGCAGTAACTGGAGCTCTCCGGTGGCTAGAGAACCAGATGCATTCACATGTCTCAATTGTAAAAGACACTGAAAGCATGCTGAGAAAGGTGAAGACAGGAATGCTTTGAGCAGAGTGGCAAGCTTCACTGTAGTGGGTAATGAACAGGCAGACAGATTGGCTGGTCTGCACCACTGGGTGGCAGTTTGATACATGACAAGGCAGATGTGGTCAAGGCCCTTTGGGAACAAGTAGCAGAATTAGTAGAGAAAGATTATTATGGCCTGTAGAGAATGAGGCATCTGGGTGTACCCAAAGGGTCTGGCCGGCTCACTAGAACAGGGGAAAGGCAAGACGGGCATATAACCAAATTGCGATCGGTTCCATAAATATTGGTTGCTAAAGATGAGAATGGAGCACACATGGGAATGCTCCAACTCAAGTACTGGTACTGTCTTAATGCTCTGGTTAAAGTAGTCAATCATCTCTGTCAGGTCTGCATTACCTTCATATGGCCAAACCTGACCCAATCAGGCATGAGGCAGTGTCTTTTGCCTTTTTAAAAATTTGATATCTTCCACTCGTGTGATGTTTTCATAATGATTATTCTTTATGGTGCCAGATAACTCATTTCTAACTGCATCCCCGATATCTGAATCATCACTAATATTATTTCCTTACAAATATCAATTAGCTGATTTAGTTTAGATTTTAAAATATGCCTGTAACAAACTTCTGACTTGTATGTCTAAAAACCAAGATTTCCATTACAATCAGGTGTTTTTCTGACAATTTATCTCCATCATAAGCTTTAAAACATTTAGAAATAACAGCAATCTGTCGTTAATAGCTTGAGAAGCAAAGGATTAACTAAGGAATAAAAAGCAGGTAAGCAAAGCTTCTTTTGTCAATAAATTACTGATATAATATCTTTTTTTTTAAAATCCTTTAAGTATATACAGCTATATGAACTTTCTGTCAATAACATTTATTAAGAATCTGATAGACAAAGTAAATGTGCAAGCAGCAGAAACATGACTTCAGTTGAATAAACTACAAATTACATTTCTTGTAAACATTTACAAAACAGAGAAATATTAAAATAACACTGTTTTTATATATCTCTATTCTATCATCACCAGCAGAGAAAAAATAATACAAAAATGACGCAGAAATAACATAGTCTGTGGTTTATTCATCTTAAGGTATTCCAATTATAACCCCTTTAGACTGAAAAAGTATCATTGTTTAAATTAATACCATCATTCACACAAAATTGAATACAATAAGAACTTA